GAGTTCACATATGAGTGCAATTTCCTTTAATGAAAGCCCTTTTTTACTGTGAGCATGATTTGGTGATGTCAAAAATTCTTCCAGCTGCAGTCATCTACTTTAGGGAAATTTGAGGGGCACCAGGAAGACTACACAGGCACATCTGCCACAGGCAGTTCTATATGTCCAGTTGAAGGGGAAGTCAAAACCAAGATTAAGATCCCTGTGACATGCTAGCAAGTTAGTGGAAGCCTATGCATCCACTGAGACTGAATATTAAAGAACCTCTGGCTTTACTGGGGTGACTAGTCAAGGATTTTAGCTCACCCATTAATATCAGCCAGTACAACTTGTTTACCTGTATTACATGCCTTAGACATACCTGTGCAGATACCTCTTCCCCCCAGTTCGCATTGGAATCACATCTACTCTGTATTAAAGGGAAACATTATGTCATGCAACAAAGCAGTATATTTTGGGCTCTCACATTAGATAATTGAATTTAAAAGTGTAAGATGCATGGACTGTTCCCCTACAGTGTGATTTTTCAGTGAATCTTGGCCATACAGACACAAATGTGCACCACCAGAAGGAATCAAACTCTGGACCCTTAAACAGAAATGTTATAGACTGCAACTACTAGAGAAAAGGCATTTAACAGCATCCCCTGGATAGGTACTAGGAAAACCATAAGAATAAACACTAATTGGTATGTTGTATTCATTTCCCCCCATAAGTGAAATGGATCTGATTCAAATTTAGGAGATGCCCCATCCTAGCACAGGTTCTACTTCTCCTTTGTTCCCCAGAAGTCCCTAGAGAAGGGCATCCCTCTGCAAAAGAGCATAAGACTGTAATTTTGTTCCAGTGTGGCAAAAAATATCCAGTACTGAGGACTTCAGTTGCATGTACTCTAGTCACACTGCCTGGCATGACCAGTGAAGTTGAGGTACAGTCTGGCTCTTGTACTGAAGCACAAGGTGGGTCCACGTTTATCTTCCACGAATCTCCCCGTTTCAGCAGTGTGACTGAGTGTGCCCCTGTGCAGCACTGGGAATCCGGTGTGGGTGGGAGACACAATATGTTGTGCCTTCCATAATGTTCAGGCTGTGAGCGCTATCACAGATCTGCTGGTAAAATCAATTGCTGTCACAGAAAGGATTAACAAATTAAACTTAAGCATTCTTCAATAACCACCATACCATCAAATATAGGAAGAGGAAAGACTGGTGTTAACCTGACATTACTAACTTCAGCTCTTCAGCAATTCTTGCTATGAAGGGCTCACAGAGCAGGAGAAGCATATATGCAAAGATGCTGACTGAAAAAAGACCAGTACATTACTGGAAATTTCAGGTGGTATGAAGTAGGCAGCACAGAGGGATCTTCCATCAGAAGCAAAGAATTAGTCACAGAATTTACTATATGCTACACCCTCCTCTTTGATTCTTCTGTTTTGTTTCTGATTTTTATTTGCACACTTTCACTTTGATCACATTGAGGGTTCGATCTCTCTTACCCCATTAAAATTCTGATACAATTCTGAAAAAATTCTAGAAACAAGGCACCCTTAGGTATGAGCTCCCTTAGCCACACAGCAACTGGATCAACCATACACATCAGAAACACGTCTCTGCTGACACAAGTACTTTGCAAAACAGAAAAGGTGCAAGGGAGAGAGGGGTAGAAACAAACCTCAAAAGCAGATTAATTGTCATTTCAAAAAACAAGAGCACAAGTTTCATAAAATGTATGCCACTAACAGTTGATGAAGAAAGTGCATTTTCAGTGATGCAAAACAACAGATCAAGATCTAATATATGTGTGAATGGCAATAGTAATATCAGCACTTTTTAGAATAAGCTGTCCAAAAATTATTTTGACTGCAGTACAAATAGAAAGTCATATGGTATGGCATATAATATTGGCAATAAACCACATAAAAAATATACATCCACTGGGTATCAAGGCCAGAGGCAACAAGGGGCTTTGATTTCGTGCATTTATAGCAAATGCATTCTGCCTTCCAGGTTAAAAAACATGTACACAAACAAAGACATCATTACAGATTATTCCAATAGAGAATATCAGCAGTACAATGGCTAGAGTTGTATATTACAGATCTCAAAGCCAAAGGAATTCTTTGCATAGCAGCACTGTGAGAATTGCATAAGTTCTTGCATGCAAGGAAATTGAGGCTTGGTCCAGAAACAACAAAAATCTAAGGGAAATGGTCTGCCTGCTGCCTTGCTGTAGATCTTTGCTAAAATGCTGTTAAAAGCCATTTGGATAAAAAATATCTATTTACAGAAATAATTTTTTAAATAGACAACCAGAGAAATAAATTTGTGCTCTGAATGCTCTGGAAAATTATATTACACTGATTGCAAATTCTTTGCTATATATAACAGCTAACTCCCTTACTGTATGTGTAACAGTGAAAGATAATTGTGTTGTTCTCTCTTGCTGGAGAACAAGCCAAGATCATCCCTTAGGCAACATTTTAAAGATACATAAGAAGTCTGTCACTAACACTGGAAAGATAAAACATTTAGCGGAAATGTACTCTGAGTTTGAGGAAAGATAGCCAGAGGTTTTAAAGGACATTTTCTTTCCTCTACTCCTTCTGCCTCTAGCACAGTCTCCGAGTCAGGCCAGTTTTTAGCCTTCAGAAGGCCTGCTGTGTTGCATATGTAGATAAGTTCTAACTGACTCCTCTATGTTTCTACCCTGCCACGCTCCTCCCTAAAAGGGTCTCAGGGAAAGATTATAGCTCCATCTCCCAGCGTGAGGGAGAATGGTGCTTTCTGTCAACTAAGTACCAGTCAGCTGATTGCTGGTGACATTCCCATTTCAATGGGCAGCTGACTCTGTGTAGGGAGTTTGAAAACTCCCTGCTGCATTTATTTCAGTACTAAAGCCCATAAACATGCAATAGAATCTTAGACTTGTTCAGACTTGTTCAGAGCACAAGTAAGAAGAACCTACAGCTGCATTAAGACTTCAGACAGCATATGGAGGAACAATATTAAGCACCTATTTTAAAAACAGGCTTACAAAACTCACCACTTCCATACGTGACACTAGGAATTAATAGAAAGGTCAAGTTATACTTAGATCATCTGTGGCTCTTGCATGAGTGTGTGTGTAGAGAGAGTATCTTGCTTCAGAGCTTCCAAGGTAACTACACTTCCTTGTCAGAGATAACATGGGGGAACCTGAAAGTCCAGCAGAGCTCTTCCCCCCACAGTAAATAAGTGCAATAAAGCCATTATTACGGTTCAGTAATCACAGTTCCGGGAACTAAAAAATTCACCACAGTGCACTGGCCCTGTTACAGGTGCGGTCAAAGAGAATATTTAAACAGCGTCAGTGGCAATTTTCTAAAATTGGTATGTCCAACTAGCCACCTACAGACCAAAATCACCAGTTTTGATACTTTTGGGCATAAGAACCAATATCTGTAATTAGACGGACACAGAAAATCTTGACAAAATGGACTTGTCCTTGACCTATTCATTTATTTCAAAAACCTTCTGTTCATCAAACTTACATACATCAGGGAATGTTGTAGGTATTGGATCCTTTCTCTGCTGTTCAACAATGTGATATATGTCAAAGGTGATCAAAGAAACTGAAGGGAACTAAAGAAACACCTTCATTGACAAATCAAAGGAAAAGTTTTCATAGTTACAATACTTCAGAAAAAAGCGTACCACCATTTTTCAGAATAAAACTGCTTAACTTTACCATGAAGGTAATTTAAAGAAGTTTTATTGCAGTCAACATTGATTGAAATTAAGAACCATTTTTTTTACAATTCTCTCATATTACCCTTTCCTCAGCCTTAGGCATTTAAAAGGTCAATTTGCAAGGCATTTTGCTAATTTCCACAGTTGGCTAGAATCTTAAGCCGTGTTCCAAATTCACTATGAATCATCTCTAATTTTTCTAGTTCTAAGGAAGTTAATAGAGTGCAATTTCTAAATTAGGGCAAACAGACAAATTTATAGTACTCCTGATTTTTCACTCAAGGACACAGATTTTTGTCTCTATCCAAATTGCATAAATTTTCTTTTATTTTCTTCAAGATTTTCTGTCCTTGTATGTTTTCCAGTATACCTTTGCAATAATGTCTGAGTAAATTTCAACAAATTGTTGATCTGTTTGAAGCCTTCATATATTGTTGTGTGATTTTCCCACCACTCGTACCTAGAAAGGACCAGAAGTCTAGACTCGGAAAGTTACTCTGAGCACGTTTTTTGCCAGACAGGCAGCCACAATTGTGTGATAATGTGGGATTTATGGCTCTAATGCTTGCTCGCTCCAATACTGGCATGCCTGAACAGTTACTGATGCTACCATACAGGTTAGATTGCTCAGAACACATAGCCTCCTGCTTTCTCCCTCTGCAAAACCAAAGTTGTGCAGAGGAAAGAAGAATAAGGCCCTAAAAAGAAGGAAAAAGCTGTAGATTCTCAAAATTACTGGAGTAGGACAATAGATCACTATCAAATTAAGTACAACTAATTTTCCCTACGGTGCCACACATACAATTCACTAGGACAAAAGCCTACACTCTCTCTGAAATCCTTTTTACATTCACATAAGAAGATGTGCACATTAATGGATCCTGGTATGATTTTTTAAATTCCTTTGAACACACTATGTTTCTCCAGGAGATGAAAAAAAGCTGCAAGACAAGATCAGGCTGATGTTGAAGAAGTGCCTCTTTACCCCTTTTAACCTAGACATGCTGTTTAAAGGTAACGTTTGTCATCATTACCACACTGTGCATCCAGCAACAGCCTAGAGAAGGGTGCAAAAATTCCAGGATGAAGGACACTGTCTGAAAGTTCAGCAAGAGTCTGGGTAGCATCCATATTTCTTTCACGCTGTGGGATGGAACAAGCCAGGCTCTGTGCATGTCATTCAGATGACCCATAAGACCGAGTCAAGTTATGGCAAAAACATACTTCCAGCGCCATGCGTCTAGGATTTCGGGCACCATTGTGATCATACCTCAATGCAATATTTCCGTACCAGATGCAGCTTGTTGCCAGAGTGCAAGTAAACGTCGTAACTGACTGCCACGAGTCAGGCTGGGAGCAGTAAATTAGCAAGTGGCTCAGGCACTCTAGTCTAGGAGAAGAGTAAAAAAGGAGTGTGGCTGCAGCACTGGGAACAACAACGGTCCTTGTTCTCCTGCTTTGAGTGAACATAAACAAGTCCATTGTTATCTGACTTTGTCAAACTTCAAAGTATAATGCTAGAAGGAAAAATAAGTTTTACAGAACTGAACATATACAACCCTTTTCTTCCCTTCATAAATTGTTTGTTGCATTAGTTGAAACTACCGAAGTGTTTACAGTATGCTATGTATATATAATGGCACATTTAAGCTTTTTAAAGGGATTGGAACATTTCAGGAATGTTTCTGGTGCTGAAAAAGGCTAACGTATTACAAATCATATAATATTTTAATTCAGAAAAAATATGTTTGAGTATTTTGACCTAGCATCATAAGGGTTAGGAAACTGAACAAGGATGCCATGAAGCATGACTGACAAATCAGTCGAGCTAGTCTGCTTCAGATACATATTGTGCAAGGCATAGCGCCGCAATCAGTCACAAAAATGCATATTTAGTTTTTGTACATTAAATACTACACCTGTGAACCTATGTAAAAGATATACAAAATATAAATGTCATCAGGACTCTATATTTTGAACTTTTTAAAATAAACACAAAGTGTATATATATATGTAGGCATATAGGTTGTAATTTCAATGTCAACACTAGCACAGTTTGTCTCTTCTAAATACAGACCTGTATACTTCCTAGTCCAACACATGCACCTACAAACACATGATCATGCATACAGCTTTACGTTCTGCTGTTTGCAGAAGAGTCAGAATATACAGCACTATACATTGTTTCAACTCAAAATTGATTGGCAAATTAAGGAAGATGCCATTCAAAAGAAATTCCTTGTGAGCTATTACCAAAAAAACAGAGAAAATCAGGGGTATAGTTATTTCATCTCAATAAAAACACTGAAGACCATGGTGATGATGACCCAAGATTCAAAACGTTCTGTCCGGCATGTGGTGGGGGGTCACTCTTGGACAAGATACAACAGTGTAGAACTGGTTGCTATAACACATACCGAACGCAGTTATAATGAGGTGTAGAGCTTTCACAACACCACCCAACCCAGCTTTGGGTTCAGACTACTGAGGTCTCTGACCGAAAGGAGACAGAGCAGTTATATGCCGTTCTTCTCACAGCAGGCGGTGCTGACGGTGATCTGGATGCCCATCTGGAAGGTAAGCGTCGATTTGCTGGCCGAGCGGGCCGGGAGAAACCCTTCCCACTTGAACATTTAGCTGGCACAGATATCTAGAATACAAAAGCAATTCCTTGCTTTAGCAAGTTACAGCTT